GTAATGTAACAAAACTTCTACACAAATAAATTACTTGTTATTCCTTTACGTTTGATCACCAATATGCTGTCTACCACAAAACCCTTCGAGTTACTTTATATATCGTTGATGTCAAACCATGGTAAACTGTTGAGTATTTTTACTTACAAGAAATATCAAGTCGGGATTGGCAAAAATGCGATTGAGGTGGATAACTTTCTTTTGTTTCCTCCACTGTAGTCTCCGCATATTCTGTCCGCATAGAGGATCAGATCCAGTGTTTTTATGCCCCATTCAGCGACCTAATAAAAACAATATCATTAAGGGAATTAACGAAACGAAGATTGGTCCGAATGATTATCTACATGACAAATCGACTTATAATCCCAAACATACATAACGTAGATTAACGAGAGAGATTGAAGAGACTTGCAGTTTCCAGCTATGGTAGAGTTTCATATATCAGTTTATATGAAATTCCAAAAGCAACACTATACATTGCAAGAAGACTTAAGGTACGTTCAAAAACTTCAAATATGACCAGAAACCTTGAATTTCGAGCGTAGTCTTAGCAATCATGTAAAACTGAAAGGCAGGCATCCAAAAAGACAATCTTGAGCCTAGATTCAAATCGTTTCAGAGCCCAGATTAGTTAATATCATATAAGAGGGTTTCTCTACCGAAGAAGGGCCTTGGCCTTTTTCTAGCAGAGCTTAGGAAGTTTTAAGATACCTGCGGGACGTATTTCCACCGAACTCCACGAATTCTGGCGTAGTAAGAAAGCATTTCCCTAGCAGTGAGCAGCTCATCAAGGGCATCGAATTGGGGACAATAACCCATGTGTTGCCGGGCGTCATTAATGTCACTCAAAATGCTGCAAACAAATCACTGATTAGAAGAGCTTTACGTCACTGTTTTACGATATCAAAACTGGTTGAAACTATGATTTACAGCTTTTAAACTGCTTGAACTGTTTAATATAGGAAAGGTGATTGATATAGGAAAGGGAAAATGCAGAGAAAAACAAAACAGATGCGGAGGGAAAACAAAAGATTGCGTGAGGAAAACAAAACAGATGCGGAGGAAAACAAAACAGATGCGGAGGAAAACAAAACAGATACGGAGGAAACAAAACAGATGCGGAGGAAAACAAAACAGATGCGGAGGAAAACAAAACAGATGCGGAGGAAAACAAAACAGATCCGGAGGAAAACAAAACAGATGCGGAGGAAAACAAAACAGATGTGGAAGAAAACAAAACAGACGCGGAGGAAAACAAAACAGATGCGGAGGAAAACAAAACAGGTGCGGAGGAAAACAAAACAGATGCGGAGGAAAACAAAACAGATGTGGAGGAAAACAAAACAGACGCGGAGGAAAACAAAACAGACGTGGAGGAAAACAAAACAGATGTGGAGGAAAACAAAACAGATGCGGAGGAAAACAAAACAGATGTGGAAGAAAACAAAACAGATGTGGAGGAAAACAAAACAGACGCAGATTTGTAGTTCTATTATTTCTCCTTCAAAAGCATGCATTCAACATTGTGTTAGGGGAGGGGGGAAAGTTATTTTTCAAAGAAAAGAGAAAATATCAACATTCCTTCAAAAGTCTCAACCATTTTTGTCCGGGATTGTAGCTCTGAAGATTAAAACCAATAGCAGTTTAAACGCATTCAATTCAGAGAAAAGACTTTCGTCATCTCATACACATAATTACAACATAAATTGTAATCAATTTAAGATTTGTAAATGTAGTATAAATAGTAGGCTTTAATTAGTTGTTATATTAGCTAAAAAATTTTTGCTTCGCCTACTGTAAATAATTTTATAATAATAATAATAATAATAATAATAAACCCTCACGCACCTGCTTTTGGCAATAAAAGCATCTCCAGATGTCACGTTTGTGTCTCCTGTCAGCATTTTAAAAGTTGTTGTTTTTCCTGCACCATTTACTCCCAACAGCCCAAAGCACTGTTAAAAGTAAAACGAAACGATTTCAATTTTGACTGAAATGAAAAAGTTCTATGTTGTCGTTGAATAGCCTTTATTTCATAGAAATAAACACAGTTTGGTCACGAAAAAGTTACTTTACCCCAATCTGAAAAAATACAGGTTTTAATAAACATTTTACATACCTCGCCAGATTTTAAACCAAACGACAGTTTATCAACTGCGAGCAGCTTTTTGCGTCTAAAAACCGACCTGTAAATCTAAAAAAATCAAAAACAATCGAAGAGTTGCTTGATGATCGCAAAAAGCGCAAAACTCTGAGCACTAAAAGCGTAAAACATAAAACCAAATGAACTTCTTTGGCCTGGCTTCTATGCATGGCAAAATGATCAAATTATAAATTTAGATCTGATGATACCAAAGAAAATTAATCCAGTTCATCTGTAGCCATCATAAAACAAAAACACACGATCCAAATCGACTCAATAACGAATGGCATGTTGCTATGATAGGCAAATAGCACGCAATATGGTACCTTTGTGAGATTTGTGACCCTGAGAACGTCATTACTTTCGGATTCCTCTGACTCAATACGTGATTTCTCTTCGGCTACGTCATCATCAATTTTACCAGTTGAGGTTGACTCGTGTTTGACAGGCCTTTCGTTGCAAGAAGAGAAACGCATTAACAAATGACCGTGAAGCAAAGAAAATTTAACACTTTTGCATGACGTCATGGCGCATGACGTCAAATCATGACGTACAGAGAGTAAAATGGGACGTTAAACAAAACTTTAATATTTTTTAATGTTAGGGTCGAGTTATTTTGGGGCATTTCTATATGAATGTATTGAGCAAGGGGAAGGCATATCAACAGGGGCGTAGTGGGAATTTTTATGGGCCGGGAAAATCAAGTTTTTAGAGGCACATCATTTTTATGCTGATTGTTTCGTATTGTCATCACTTATAATATGTTGGAACTGAGTGTCGCGGAGGCAGCGTGGGGCTTTACTTCACAAATCTGATGTTACAAATGATAAAACCTTAAAAGGAGGAACAATCCAAGGAGCCCACATGAAAAGCTTTAAGGGGCCTACCGGGAAATTTCCTGCATCCCGGTAGGCCACTAGACCCCTGCATATCCGCTTGACCTAGCGAAAGTTCGAGCTATCAAGGGTTTACTTAAACTGTCCCGTCCATCCGTTATAAACCACCTAGCCAAGATGACTCTCAGGCTCCAAAAATGACGGCCATGGATGTGCGATAAATTTTGCATGTAAGGATTATACAGATGCATATGAATTCTAATTTGCTTGGTTGAAATCATGAGTTGTCGCGAATCTTCTCTTGCTTTTCAACTATGCATGATCAAATTCAATGTAACAAGATAAATGCAAAAGATTTTTAAGTACCTTGACTTGATAAAAAATCCATATTGAATGAGGATCGTGATGGAGAAATAAACAATGCCGCCTATGAACATGGCCAGGCAGTTTCTACCAACAATATCCCACTTGAATGGATCTTCCAATTTATACTCGTCTAAGAAGCAAACAATCAGAAATGAATATTTTTTCAAAAATCTTGATCGATAATCTATAAACTTTCGAAATAGACTTAAATACTTTCATGTCACAAGAACAACCAACCTCAAGCGTCTTGAATATGACAGATGCCATAAACATGACATAGTTTCTCTCAAAAGACATTGCAGTTGAGAATGATAGGGCATGATCAGTGGTATGTGACAGTAAGGGTCACCGACCAAAAGCTCTTTAGTATCAATGTTTTTAAAACTTTGTTCAAGTTCGCTTTAAAATAGAGCATGAAACCCACCCCTGCTCTCCTAGTTAATGGAAAACATTATGATTTTTATACTTTGCTATTCTGTTTGACGTGCTCTAAAATATCGCATGGGAATTTCTTGCAGTCTGCAAAAAGGGGCCCGGTCTCAGTTTAGGGACCAAGAGACCTCCATTACGCTACTTGTTATGATCTTTTACAGTATTTTACAGCATTTTACAGTATTTTACAGTATTTAAAAGTATTTTTAGTACAAAAACACATATCCAATTTATGTTTTCACACAAAATAATTATAAACAGGGAAACTGAAGCAAACATCTCAATAAATGACATTTAATGTTCTTTTAAGGTTAAAAAATCACTACACCGTTTACTGTTTTGTAACGAATGTGAATTTTTTTTCTGATTTCACTGATTCAAAAATTTGCGAAAGGAAATTGTGAATATTCTGTTAAAAGGCTTGGAAAGTGGTAAAACACAGAATAGAGGTAAAATAAAGAATCCCTCCAGTGACGTAAGGAGGTGTTGCTGATGTTGCTCAGTGAGCAAGGAGTATGAAAATACAATAGGTCTAATGAACCAGCATGACAACAGGGCCTAACAGCATATCTGGCTATCGGTGGAATGGAGCAAAAGCAAGTGTTGTATAAGGCAAAAGCAAAGTTCATGAGGAGGAATGTTTTGACCTCATACATCGGTGATTTGATTCGGTCGAGCCACGAAGAAACGATTACGATCATGCTTCGTTAGAGCTCATCAAGGGCGAAAAAGAAAGTGGACTTTGTAAACAAAAGGAGTTCGTTTTCACCTTGGGACTCCATTGGTAACATTCTCAATAGGCAAGCGGCACTGATTAGTCAACCTATACAGTCATGTGCTCGTGTTTCTGATTGGCCTATTTCGATCCACAACTGGGTTTATATATTTCTTAGCGTAGAGTTTTCGATCTATGTTCTGACGTTTTAAACTCTGAAGAGTGTCAGACGAAAAGCTTTAGTTTACTA